GGGCCATTGTTTTTTTTTTTTAGGTGAGCTGGTTTCCATTGGGCAAAAGCTATAATACGACTCGTGGGCAAGGAGGGGAATAGATGTTACTGTTCATGTGGCAAAGGGACAGGTGTGTAGGTGGAATAAAGTCTGAAGATGTAAATTGCATTAAATTAAGAGGCCCTGCTTACCAAGGCTGCATATTTCATGTCCTGTATAGGAATCTCCTGTCAACCCATGTGTAGAAAGGGGAGCAAGGGGGTGTACTTGGTGCAAAATGCTTTCACCTCAAGGCAGCAGGGTGCCAAGCAAAGGAAAGTGTGACCGCATGGGAGGAAGCTGAGAATCGACTGCAGAAGTGGGGAGACAGGACTGCTAAATTTGGGTTGTGCCATACGTGTAAAGTGGTTCTGCTTCTGTGTTGTCTGGCTTGAACTTTTAAATAGGAATCTCCAATGAAGCCACCATTCACGTGCATATTATGTTTCAAATGTCATGCTGAAATCAGCATGTCCTCCATTAGAAATGCTTTTCTCTTGTCTCAGTTGAGAGCGTGCTGGCTTTAACAAGGTAACTTAAATTATTACTTGGTAGAATAAAAAAAAGGTTTCAAATAGGTCTGTTTTTTAAACAAGCTCCTAGTTTTCTCCCCTTAACTAATTGAATCACGTGGACAGTTGTCCGTATGGAACAGTGTATCTGTCCCCTCCATCAGATACAAGTTGGAGAAGGTTAGTGGCATCATTTTATCTGTATTAGTATTGGGCCAGGGTTTGGATGCAATGTCAGTCTCTTGATATGGAAGAAATATGACTTTATTTTTTCCCCATGGTAATTGGCAGCTCTCAGTAATCTGGATTACCATGATTTTTATTGACTCCAGGTCTTTGTTTTTAGCAACCATATGGGTTTTTTAGATGCTATTCAAAAGGCAACAAAGCAAAAACCTTAAGGTGGATCAGGTCTTTGACTGAAAAGCTTGCCAGGTTTCTGTCTATCGAGGGGTGAGATGCTCCTCACTTTTAGTTAGAGAGCCTGAGACGTTAGAAGCAGGATTTGTCTCCTATCACAAGCAATGAGAGTCACGTCTTCCCACTCCTCATGTTCCTGCTCCTGCCCCTTGAGGCAAGGAGCACCTGTATTCTTTGCTCACCTGTCTGAGGAGGCTGCATCGTGCAGAAGTGAGTGGTATGGTTTAGGCATAGGACTGGCAGCTGGGTCTCCTGCAGTTTACTCCGGGCCATAAAACAGACTTTCTTAGTTTTTTGGTGTCCTTCGCCATGAAATGGGGCAGTGGCTTCTTCATAGACGAGCCCTGAAATAACATACATAATATGGATAAATTGTTCTAAACTATGAAAGTAATGCTTATTATTAAACCAGTACCTTCCAAATGGTTTTCTAACTGTAGCAATTAATTTGTCTTTGCTTCCTCTTAAACTCTTCCATTGAAACACTTATTTAAAACCTGCAATAAATGGTGCTCTGTACAGTTATTTGATTACTTCATTAGAAATTTTTGCCCAGCATCATCTCAGCATAATATTTTACAGTAGCAAAGCGCATGTTTTCTGAATCAGGTGACATTCCCCTGTGACTCAGAGCACTGTTCATTAGAAAAAGTAACAGATTTCTTTCTTTTGTACAGGACCAATTCTGATTCTGCCTTGCATCAGAGTACGATGACCCCAGCTCAACAAGAGTCCTTTTCAGGAGGGTCACAGGACATGCAGCAAAAAAGAGGTAAATGGGTGGAAAAAATTTAAGAGGCTTGGAACAGTTTTGAATATTTTTCATGTGTGGTGGGAGTTGACTAATTACCAGTGCTTCTGGTGCTGGTAGAAGTGCCTCCTCAACAGCTTTTAGACTGAACCCAGTAAAAGGCAGAATAGGGTTGGTGCTAAAACAGGCTTCCCATACCCGCTGTTCGCAGGGAATTGTACTCCAAAGAGTTTTAACCAAGATTCAGTACCTCAGGGTACCATTAGCTTGGTTGAAGAAAATTGCTGTAATTGACAAGATTTCTTGTGGGTATTGAATTTAATTTGTAGTTCTTGATCATTGGTATATGGCAGACATTTCAGATTGGGTAGTCCCCCAAAGTATTAATCAAGTGGCAAAAAAATCAAATCAAATTAATTCTGCATTTAACATGTTAAAATCGTACACATTCTCTTTCCAGTCAATTAATCTAGGCATTTTTAAAAAAAACCAGCTGCTCCCCTTCCCAAAACAGAAAGCATCCAACTTTCATTTTGAGAAATATGACTTGATTGTAAACACTGTTAAATGTGCAGGTTCTTAACTCCAAATGCTGTTTATTTTGCAAGTCTAAAGCTTTCCATGGCCAGAAGTTGGGGAGCATGGGAAAAGTGCAGTTAGCATGGCTTTTTGTTAAATGTTGAGGGGTGGCTTGGAAACTGCATTTTCCACTCTAGACAAGCAGTTGTCAGCTACCTGTGCACATGTTGTCAAGCAGCAGCTGTAAGGTATACAGGAGCAAGATTTTCATGTCATGCTTCTGGGAGCGTCATTAAGAAATGTTCAGAAATAATGGGTTACTGCTAATGGTGAGTAACAGCACTGCTAAGCACCTCCCACAATTATTGGTGCCCTCTCCTGGCCCCCACATCTGCTGTCAGCATGAGAAATGATACTGAAGGCCCACAAAAACGTGCCATTCAGATTTACAGCCCGGTTACAAAGTTTTATCCCTTGAATACTTGAGAACTCACTGGTCAGGTACATGCACCGTATTCCTTGTTGTGGCTTCTTCTTACACTGTTACCAGAGAGCAGTAAAAGATACATAAAAGGAGTAACAGTTTGTACGTGATGCTGAGGATGTCTACGGTGCTTTTCCAGCTTAGGCTCTGATGCTGTAAGTAGGCCAGGCACACAGCCCCTTCTGTCTGCCGGGAACCCATTTGGGTTATGAAATGCATGGGTCCTTTCAGGGGTTTGTTGTCCTGGTGTAATGTGTCATTACTTGGATAGGGTTCTGTTAATGGAAATCAGTCAAGTGGAAAGAATGTCAGCACAGTGTGGCTCTGCTGCCTGTATGGTGAAACGGTTTCCTACTTTGACCTCATATATGTATTGGCACAGATGCATTTGGTTTCCTGTGTCCCAGGGGAAGAGCCCAGGTTTTGTTTCAGTGGGTTTATATGCGAGTTGTATTTCGCTTACGTAAAATACAGCAGATGGAACAGTGGGGCAGCTTTGAAGTGGAGACTGCATGCAATGCTTCATCTATACCTGAGCAGCATAAATTGGATTAGGCCAAAAATGTTCAAAAGTACTTGACAGGGATATCTACTTGGGTTCTTACTCCAGTCTCAGGCTTGCCTTTTCTCTCATCCAAGGCTGGTACTTTAAACTTGGGCTTGCTACCTCCCCCTTTCACTTGAGTGGTAATTTTCTCATACCGTGAGGGCACAAGCCTCAAATTGTTCGAGTTTAATGGTTCTCCAGTGCCTTTCCACAAATCACCAGCTGAGCATGCCCAGCGTAGGCCAAGCCCTTGAACTAACTTTTCAGTGAAGGCATACATGGAGCCCCGTATTCAAAACTGACTTGTGCACTTAGCTGAAATCTCGTGGAGAGTTAATGTAGTTTTGGCCAAGTCACTTATGTGCCCTTTTGAATGTTACCTCACCTGAAACACTTGAAACAAGTTTTTAAACGTTGGGATGTACTGGTTTTGGCTTTGTTTTCTAGTCTTATTGTTGACTGTCCCTGGAATGGAGGAAAGCTCATCTGAGACGGACAAAACCCTCTCTAAACAAGGATGGGACACTAAAAAGGTAAAAACCTCACTTCTTAGCATGTTGTAGATACCTTGCTGTCGAAATCGAATCGTGTAAATCTATTTAGGTAAAGAAGCACTTTAAAAAGTAATATTGAATTGGTCTGGGCTCTGCTTGCCAAGACTTGCATTGAAATTCAGCAACAAATTGTCTGAAATTAGACCAGGGCGCAGCATCTCTATGGATGTGATGTCTGACGTAGGTGATTTGTCTCTGGGGTGGCAGGGG